TAAAGAGCTTCACAGATAAGGAAAAGCTAAAGGAGTTCATCACCACCAAGCCAGGATTATATGAAATGCTGAAAGGTATCCTTTAAGAAGAGGAAGAGGAAGAAAAAGGTAAAGATACAAATTATGAACAACAAATATGCATCTATCAACAAGTGAATCTAAGAATCAAGTGAATAAATAATCTGATGAACAGAATGAACTGGTGATTATAATAGAATCAGGGGCATAGAAAGGGAATGGACTGATTATTCTTGGGGGGGAAAAGGGTGTGGGAGATGCGGGAAGAGACTGGACAAAAATCGTGCACCTATGGATGAGGACAGTGGGTGGGGAGTGAGGGCGGAGGGTGGGGCGGGAACTGGGAGGAGGGGAGTTATGGGGGGGAAAAAAGAGGAACAAATGTAATAATCTTAACAATAAAGATTTAATAAAAAAAAAAAAGAATAAAAAGTTTAGTGCTAACTGGTTTGGCTCAGTGGATAGAGTGCCAGTCTGCAGACTGAAGGGTCCCAGGTTCAATTCCAGTCAAGGGCATGTACCTTGGTTGTGGACACATTCGCAATTAGGGATGTGCAGGAGGCAGCTGATTGATGTTTCTAACTCTCTATCCTTCTCCCTTCCTCTCTGTAAAAAATCAATAAAAATATATTTTCTTAAAAAAAAAAAAAAGAGAGAGAGAGCACACACAATGCAAACAAGGGACACCCCTGGAGCACCTGGCTCAGGTGAACAACGAGACCTTGTCACTGGGCCCCACAGGACCCTTACTACATAAGGCCACTCTGCCAAGACCAGGAAATGTCGTAGTTCTACCTAATAATAGAAACAAATACAGGGAGGCAGCGGAAATGAGGAGACAAAGAAACAAGTCACCAATGAAAAAATAGGACAAAATTCCAGAAAAAGAACTAAACAAAATGGAGGCAAGTAAACCACCAGCTGCAGAGTTCAAAACACTGATTATAAAGATGATTAAGGAACTTACTGAGAACTTCAACAAAAAGATAGTAAGCATAAAAAAGAACATAAAAACCATAAAAAACAGAAATAAAGAATACAATAACTAAAATGAAGGCCACACTACGAAGAAATCAACAGCAGGTTAAATGCAGCAGAGGATCAAAGAATTATTTGAAAAACAATGTAGCAGAAAACACCCAATTGGATCAGCAAAAAGAAAAAAAGAATAAAAAATTTTTTAAAAGTGAGGCTAGTTAAGGGACCTCTGGGAAAACATCAAGCATAACAACATTTGCATCATAGGGGTACCAAAAGAGGAGAAGGAGCAAGGGTTTGAGAACCTAGGTGAAGAAATAATGACTGAAAACTTCCCTGTACTAGCAAAGGACACGGACACACTATAGGGCGCGGCTATAGGGTTAAGCCTTGGACTGACCTGTTGGCAAAGTCACAAATAAGTCCCAGTTAGAGGACACAATCCTCTTAGCATAATTAGGCTTGACCTTATGACATTCCTTAGATCTTATCTGGGAAACTAATGGGCTGAGGGAGGTGCAGCAAGTGCTGCCAAAACAAGTGAAACTCACAAGAACAGTGTAACTATGGTAATCACTACCTTGTTTACCTCTGACTATAAAATAAAGGCTCAGCTTACCTCTGGATCTATCTCTGTGTCCTCAGCCAGGCACAGGAAGATCCACCTAGAATAAAGAGATAACCTGGCTATGCTGACCATCTAAAAAATAATAATAATAATAATAATAATAATAATAATAATAATAATAATAAAATAAATCAAATGAATAAAAATCTGATGAACAGAATAAACTGGTGAATGGCATACAATCAGGAACATGGAACTGGAACAGACTGCTGATTCTCAGAGGGAAGGGGGTGTAGGGGCATGGGAAGAGATTAGACAAAGATCTTATATTCATGTATGCAGTACCTATGGACACAGACAATAGGGTGGCAAGGGCCTGGGGTGGAGGGGGGGGACCGGGTGGAAGGGAGCTATGGGGGGCAAAAAGAGGGACATCTGTAATAACATAAACAATAAAGACCAACAGAAATAAAAAATAAAAGTGGGCAAAGGACCTAAATAGACACTTTTTGAAAGAGAATATACAGAATGCCAAGAGACATATAAAAACATACTCAGTCACTAATCATCCAAGAAATGCAAATCAGAATGACAATGAGGTACCATCTCACACCCGTCAGAATGACTATCATCAACAAATCAACAAATGGCAAATGCTGGAGAGAATGTGGAGAAAAAGGAACCCTTGTGCACTGCTGGTGGGAATGCAGACTGGTGCAGCCACTGTGGAAGACAGTATGGAATTTATTCAAAAAAATTAAAAATGGAACTCCCATTTGACCCAGTAATCCCACTGCTAGGACTATATCCCCAGAAATCAGAAACACTAATCAGAAAGGATATATGCACCCCTAAGTTCATAGCAGCATAATTTACAATAGCTAAGATTTGGAAACAGCCTAAATGTCAATCAAGAGATGAGTGGATTAAAAAACTGTGGTACATCTACACAATGGAATACTAAGCAGCTATAAAAAAGAAGGAACTCTTACCATTTGCAACAGCATGGATAGACCTGGAAAGCATTATTCTAAACTAAATTAGCCAGTCGGAGAAAGATAAATATCACATGATCTCACTCCGTCAAACCTCAGAGGGAAAGCAGGGGAGGTGGGGTAAGAGATCAACCAAAGGACTTGCATGCATGCACATTAGAATAACCAATGGACATCGACACTGGGGTGGTGGGGGCTTGTCCTCGGGGATGGGAGTGGTTGGGGAGGGGTTGGTGGGGAAAAAGGAGACATATGCAGTATTTTATAAAAAATATCGCAATACATTTTAAAGTATGTTATGACTGCCCTGGCCGGTTTGGCTCAGTGCATAGAGCGTCAGCCTGTGGACCGAAGAGTCCCAGGTTCGATTCCAGTCAAGGGCATGTACCTTGGCTGCAGGTGCATCCCCAGTAGGGGGTGTGCAGTAGGCAGCTGATCGATGTTTCTCTCATCGATGTTTCTATCTCTATCCCTCTCCCTTCTTCTCTGTAACTACCAATTTGTACTATTGGCTCACTGAGAAGATGCACGCCTGAGACTTCAATGTCTCTGCCACGCATGGAGATATGGACCAAAAGGAATGAAATGTAACCATGAGAGTTCCATTCTGTCTTTAGCAGAGGATTACCACTGACCCGCTAGCCAGAGGCAGTGATGTGCAGCAGGTTTCTTTAGTCATCAACTGACCTTCTACCAACAAGGAAAACTATATCCACAGAATCGGTAGGGGTGGATGTTTTGGCCATAAGGGTGTGGCTTATAATATGGGGACAGAAGACAAGAGGACTCTTCGAGACATCGAGACCTTCTACACCACCTCCATTGAGGAGATACCCCTCAATGTTGCTGACCTCATCTGAGTGGGGCTGGTCTGCTATCTCATCCCAGCCAGGGTTCTCAGTCCTTGGCAGGCAGAGGAGGAGGAGGGTGGAGGGAAGGGAGCGAAGGGATGGACATCTTGTCATTTTTTTTTCTTTTTCTCTTTTTTCCCTTTGAATAAATGTCACTTTTTGAGGCAAAGAAGGAACCATGAACAATTTACCCTTTTCTTTGGGGTAGGCTCATGCCCCAGGCACTATCTCTTCTCCCAAAAAGACTATTCTACTTCCCTAACCTAGTCAACCTCCAAACCCCAGAGACTCCCTGCTTCAGCCAAATTCCTCTGAAAATGACTCAAACGGGCTATAATGTCACTCAACCTCATTTACTGGGCCAAGTCTGTAGGGAGAACCGCTGAGTTAGGTGGCCCAGGGGATTGTCCCCATGTAGGGGGAGCAGGGGAGAAAAAAATAGTAGCCATTTTTATATTGTTTTGTATGGTATTTATTGATTCAGGAAACAAAATTTTGAATAAAATTACTTGGAAACAAACAAATAAAAAAAGGTTCCAAAGGACAAGACCAATGACACAATATACACTTGTTTAAAAAGTAACTTCTACAGTAATATACCTTTCCTTCAGAACAACTTGAAGAACTATATTCTTCAAGTCTCAAACACTGAATAAAAACATGCTTATTACTTACTAGTCAATCTAATACCAAATCTGAATCACTGAAATGAAGGTTGGATTTTGCAGTCTCAATATTTTCAACCCCCATGTTAGTTGTATTTCAAAATTAATTCTTATATTTTCTGCAAAAATATAATTCTTACCCTAACCGGTTTGGCTCAGAGGGTAGAGCGTCAGCCTACAGATTCAAGGGTCCCGGGTTCAATTCCGGTCAAGGGCATGTACCTTGGTTGGTGTGCAGGAGGCAACTGATCAATGTTTCTTCTCACTGATGTTTCTCTCTATCCCTTTCCCTCCCTCTCTGAAAAAAAATCAATAAAAATATATTTAAAAAATATATATGTAATTCTTGGTTGAGGAAAATATGACTAAAGGTAATGACTTACCAAATAGTTACGTACCTGTGGCCAAAAATACTCAACTGGAGGATAGAAAATAATCTCTGCTTTATTTATTAATTTTTTATTTTTGTTAATCCTCACTTGAGGATATTTTTCCATTGATTTTTAGAGAGTGGAAGGGAGGGGGAGAGACACAGAAATATCAATGTGAGAGAGACACATCAATTGGTTAATGCCTGCATGCACTCAAACGGGGCCAGGGGTAGAGCTTGCAACAGAGATATGTGACCTTAACCAGAACAGAACCTAAGACCCTTCAGTTGGCAGGCAGATGCTCTATCCACTGAGCCCAAAGATTAGCACTAATCTTTGTTTTTCTATGTGCAAATTTCCTTCAGCAGGTGAGAGATTAACTGGAAAATGGGAGGATCAACATTGCATATTTGGATAGAAAATTTTTAAAATAAAATCATGGACTCTGAAATTTCTAGTTGTGCCCTTTAAATATACTTCAATAGTATAGGAATAATTATTTAACTTAGAGAGTAATGATTAATGGCTCACAGAGGAATTAAAAAAGAACATGATTAAGTAAAGTTAGTTTATTTTACCTGCAGCTCCTGCAATATAAACTGAACGTAAATGCTGATAGTGAGACATATAAAGAAGAATTACTGGTAAATGTCAGAACATCATGCCTTCCAATCCATCTTCCATGAACTTCTTATAAAGTGCCATAAATTTGGCCACAAATGCTTCCAAGTGATAAATGGCTTTACTACCCAGCTGCAGACGATGTTCATAGTAAGCTGCCATCTGGGCCACTTCTCCTTTCAGTTGTCCATCACAATTATGTAAAAGTTCTGAGAGAAGGCCCTAAAGAAAGATAACTAGTAATTAAAAAATTATTTAAAAAGGATATTGGCCAAACAAGGTTTATTTCTCATTCAAAACAGAAGTAAATCTTAAGTTAAATATGTTCAGAACTACATGATGCATATTCTTCAAGTCTCAAACACTTAATGAAAACATGCTTCAAGTGAAACATGTTCTTTTCTTATGTGTGAAATCCTGAATTTTTTTATATTCATCCAAAAGCAAAAAAACAAAGTGTACTTTTCTATAATGTAAAAATGTGGCAATTATTTAGCATAATTCAATACTTAAATGTACGAGGATGCAAAAATATAAGTACAAAGATGCTTATTACAACATTAATTATAATAATCTATATGGCAACCTAAAGTTCCACCAATACAGACCACATTTAAAAAAATACAACTATAATATACAATGGAATCCCATTCATACATTAAAAACAGTAAGGTAGCCCAGCCAGCATAGCTCAGTGGTTGAGAGTTGACCTATGACCCAGGAGATCACGGTTTGATTCCTGGTCAGGGCACATGCCCGGGTTGCGGGCTCAATCCCCAGTGTAGGGCATGCAGGAAGCAGCTGGTCAATGATTCTCTCTCATTATTGATGTTTCTATCACTCCCTCTCCCTTCCTCTCAGAAATCAGTAATAAAAATATATTTTAAAAAAAGAGAGTAAGGTAAATATGGACTGTCATGAACAAACACACGTTACAATGTTGAATGAGAAACACAGTGCAGAAGACTGTCAAGGTTTGTGAAACTACACACACACACACACACACACACACACTATGGGCTTACAGACAGTCCTCGGGTTATGTCAGAATCAACATACATCGTTTCATGGTTACGTCACCACCTTCCATTTATTTATTAAAAAAGTTCCGTCATTTCGACATATGTACATACCAGTAGCCCAGTGCATGAAATTCATGCACGGGGGAGGGTGTGTTCCTCAGTCTGGCCTGCACCCTCGCCAATTTGGGACCCCTGAAAGGATGTCCTACTGCCAGTTTACAGGGATCAGGCCTAAACCAGCAGTCGGCCATCCCTCTCACAATCCGGGACAACTGGCTCCTAACCGCTCACCTGCCTGCCTGCCTGCCTGCCTGCTGCTAACCACTCTGCCTGCCGGCTTGATCGCCCCCAACTGCCCCCCCCTCCGCTGCGGGCCTGCTTGCCCCCAAAAGCCCCGCCCCCCGCCAGCCTGATCACCCCAAACTGACCCCCCTGCTCACCCCTACCTTCCCTCCCCACTGGCCTGCTCATCCCCAACTGTCCCTCTACTGGCCTGCTTGCTCCAAACTGCCCCCCCCCCCCGCTCCAAAATGCCCCCGCCCGCTGTCCTGATCACCTCCAATTGACCCCCACTGATAGCTTGCTTGCCCCCAACTGGCCACCCTGCTGGTCTGCGTACCCCCAACGGCCCCGCTCCCCACCAGCCTGATCACCCACAACTGCCCACCCCTCTTGGCCTCTAACCACCTCGACCTCAGCCCCGCCACCATGGCTTTGTCCAGAACATCTGGAAGGTCTCCTGGAAGGTCTCCCAGTCTAATTAGCATATTGCTTTTATTAATATAGATATATTTGTCTGTAAATATGATTATGATTGCAGATGAGTAGGACCAGGTAAAATTTTATAGAATGGGCCTTTTATTACAGATGGTTTGCCATGTATGCATTTTTTCTAAAGAAGTAAAAATTACTTAAAAAATTATTTCAGGAAGACTTTGAGAAATTTACAGTATCTGCTTTTCTTCCAAGAAAGTTGTCACTTTTATGCCAGAGTGAGAATTATTTGTATGCTTTGTATGTCAGCATTGGGCCACTGTGACTGGGGGGCACTTAGCTTGACTTGAGAGTAATTATCTGGCTCACTGGCTGGGAGGGAGGGTGTGTGGCAGAGGAGATAAATACTGGGTTCTGGATTATTCATAGATTGCTGACTTTCTGATTGATTGTGCAAGCCCCTGCTTTTATTGATGTCCACCTTCTATTGACAGACATCTACCCTGGGAGAGAAATGAGATGAAAACTCTCTTTCTTTACATTGTAAAAAGCATTTGAAGTCCTAAGGTGTGATAAGGCCACCCAGCCATCCACAGTCAAGGTACACATTTCATGGAGGATGTTCCCACTCTTGAATAAATTAAAACAATTTTTTTCTTTTAATTTCAACTTTCTTCTATAACTGTTTTCTTGTTACTTAAAAGCTAGTTTTTTTGAAACTACTTCCAAAGCTTTTCAAGCTGTATTATGTCCTTGGAATGAATTTATAAATAAGAATTGAGACTGGCCGGTGTGACTCAGTGGTTGAGCATCGACCTATGAACCAGGAAGTCACAATTTGATTCCAGATCAGGACACATGCCCCGGCGTGGGCTTGATCCCTAGTACGGGGCGTGTAGGAGGCAGGCGATCAATGATTCTCTCTCATCATTGATGTTTCTATCTCTCTCCCTCTCCCTTCCTCTCTCAATCAGTAAGAATATATTTTAAAGAGAGAGAGAGGAGTATGTATGTTTGTAAATAAGAAAACATGTATTTGATGCTCTTAGAAAGTCTTACTTTCATTAAAACTTGTGCAATATAGGGAACTCCATAGATTCTCTTAATTTGAAGAAAGTTAGAGGGAAAGGTACTAATTCAGAGTTCCTTGGGAATATGTGTCGCTTATATATTATTTTATGTTTATTTTTTTAAATCAAAAGCTGAAATATTTTCTATTCAGAAAACATATTTGGATCTAAATATCTTCTGTAATTTTAACCCTAAAATATCAATTTAAATATTTTAAAAATGGTTGTGATGTTTGTTTGTTTTAAATAAGTTAGGTTACTGAAGTTCTACATGTTACTGGATCACCTGGGGTAATTTTCTGATTGGAAAATTAAGAATTATAGTCAGAGGGGAGGACATGAGAATTTTTAAAGAACATATTCAATTTACTTTAGAAGCCGAACCTCTCTTATCATGTGACTTGTTTTGTATGTTTTTTTAAACTATATTATAACATAAGCATTGGTGCTATTGGGACAACACAGTGACAGTTGATTCGGGTCATTTGAATGTCACCTGTCTGTTTTAATTTGTATGTTTGTTTTGACTCTGTCATATGCTCAAACTTCAGTGGAAGTCATGAGAACCTATTATTTTTGCCTGCTCCCTCCTTTACGTTGGAAATATTCTTTTTTACTCAGAGGGACCTTAACTTTGATGTAAGGGATTGTTTTCGTTGCCAACTGTTTTCTTCCCTGCCAAGTAAGAGAGTTGTTGTGAACTCTTCAGTGATGCCTTCCCCAGGAGATTTGCAGATGTGGTTGGGAAAAGTCATTTCATCCCCAACCTTTGCATGTCAGGTGCTGGGGTGCCGGGGTGCCGCCTCGCCTGTGCCCTGGCTCTCCGATCCCGATGTGGCTCTCTCCCCCTCCGATCGCCATGGCAACCACCAGACCACTGGTCTCTCTCCCTCCGATCGCCATGGCAACCACAGGATGCAGGCCAGGCGGCACCCCTGGCCCCAGAGGTGCGGCCTGGCCTGGCCCCAGCTCTCTCTTCCTCTGATCGCCATGCAATCACAGGGCTGCCTTTGCCCTGCCACCCAGCTCTTGCTTGCAGCCTAGGTTTCTGATCACTGTTCTTCCATCCTTCCCCTTTCACCTCCCATCATTGCGCCTACGTACGCAAATAACCGCCATCTTTGTTGGCGGTTAACCACCATCTTTGTTGGCAGTTAATTTGCATATCGCCCTAATTAGCCAATGGGAAGCATAGCGGAGGTACGATTAATTACCCTTTTTGTCTTTTATTAGATTAGATGTGCTTTATGTTTTTTATTATTTATTTACCACAAGTAAAAGTCAGGAATTATCTTTCTTTTAAATTTTTTTTACTGTTTCACTTCATTACTGCTGTGTATGTGCTCTATGTGAGTGACATAGGTGCTTATGTAGGTGGGTTCGACTTACGGCGAAAATCGTGTTATGTCGCGCCGAAGGAACGGATCTCCAAGGAAACTCGAGGACCTACTGTATTTCCATGTGAACAGAATAGAGGTCTGTTAAAACTGGTTATCCTTATGGAAGTGAAAGGGCAGACCTTCATTTTTTTTTTGTATAGTTGGGTCACTGAATTTTTTCATGTTAATATTACCATTTAAATACAAATAAACAACAACAAAAAACCCTGCATTTCCTAACAAATCAATCTAGCTAGGTAGGTAGCTGACAGACCAACTCTAAAGCTGTGCCTTACAATATATCATAATTCAGATTCTGCCTACACATTTAACCTCATTTCCCATGTTCATTGAATCTAGTAGTCCGAAATACTTGTTCCCCAGTCATTTACACAATTCCCTTCTTTTAATCCTTGAAGTCTCAGCCTAAGCATAACCTTCCTCAGAGAATCTATTGCTGACCTTCCATGGCTCCACTCTCCCTTATTTCACCTTGTTACTTCTTTCTTAACACTTAAAACATTCTGAAATCCGTTTGCTTCTTTACTTGTTTCTAATCTGACCCTACTAAAATGTAACTTCTCTGAAGGCAGGACCTTTCCTGTCTTCTTCATCATCCCCCTTATGATGCCTGACATACAGTAGACACTCAAAAAATATCTGATGAATTAATGAACTGTATAAGAAGTGAGTGTTATCTTATGATTGCAAATTTCATGCTTATAAAAGATTCAAGATGTGAAATCAGGTTACCTTCATTATTATTTCAGGAGGAATACAATGAGTTAAAAGCTCATAGAGTCTTCCACGAACTTCAAGGAGCCTACATAAAACATAGTAATATTTTGTGATAAAAATAAGAGGTAATTTTTCCAAGTACCTACTGTGCTGTTTAACTTTATGAATTAAACAAACAATCCAATACAAACATTTTCTTAAATGGCTTATCATACTTACCATACACATACAGAAGCTTTTTCTAATTTCAGTTCATTTTTTTTAAAGAAAATTTACAGAACTCTTTTAAAGTTAGACAAAACTTATATTCAGTATTATATTAAGACTTCATGAACAGTGAAGGTTGAGTTTATTTCACACCATGGACTTTAGCATACTTTCATGACACATTAAGTAATATGTTTATTTTTTCCCGCCCAAATAAATGATACCTAGAACAGCTAGAAAATAATCATAAAAAGATTAAAGAATCACTGGTCAATTACACAAGTGAGCAAGGGATATAAGGATGATATCTACAATAATAAACGCATAATATGCTAATTAGACCAGACAGCTGAACAACCTTCTGGACGTCCTTTTGGACAATCTTCCTGACAAAGTTGCCGCGGACAGGGGCCGAGGCAGAGGTGATTAGGGGCAATCAGGCAGGCAGAGTGGTTCGGGCCAATCAGGCAGGCATGCAGAGTGGTTAGGGGTGATGAGGCAGGCGGGCAGAGGCAGTTAGGGGTGATCAGCCAGGCAGGCGAGTGGTTTTGCACTCTACTGCCTAGAGTGCAAAAGCAATATGGCAAGGAAACAAAGATGTCCTATCATTATAGGTAAGCATAAAAACAGGCTGCATAAGTCAACATGAGCATTTCCACTCTGAGCCTTTAATTCTAGACCCCTCTCATAAAATTTCTCTCCTTCACAAGAGTAGAGAGAAATATACAAGGCATTTTAAGACAGTAAGGAAAACAATGATCATTAAAATTCTAAACACAAGAATCTTTATTTCTTCCTCTCTCTCTCTCTCTCTCTCTCTCTCTCTATATATATATATATACACACACACACACACATACATATAAACTAGAGGCCCAGTGCACAAAATTTGTGCAGGGGAGGGGGGTGCCCCTCAGCCCAGCCTGCACCCCAATCCGGGACCCCTCAGGAGATGTTCGACTGCCAGTTTAGGCCCGAATCAGCAGTCGGACATCCCTCTCGCAATCCAGGACCACTGGCTCCTAACCGCTCATCTGCCTGCCTGTCTGATCGCCCCTAACCACCTCTGCCTCAGCCCCCGCCACCGTGGCTTTGTCCGGAAGGATGACCGGACGACTGGAAGATGTCCTGTCGACCTGGTGTAATTAGCATATTACCCTTTTATTAGTATAAATATATAATTTACCTACCCTAAAGGGAAAAAAAAATGTTCTGAATCATCACTAAAATAATATCACAGATGTTCTATTATTTCAGATTAATCAGGAAAGTGATTTATGAAAGATTTCTTAAAAGTAGAAGTTCAAACCCCATTCTGGGAATCCAGGACTATGAAGCTGTGCCATAATAAAGCTTAATAAAAGTTGTTTTTGTTTTTAAATCCAGCATGTTTTTAAGCACTTGCTATGTGAAACATACTATAACTAATAATTTAAAATCAGTCCTCACACCAGCTATGAGTGGGCATTATCTCCATCTATTTTTAGATGAAAAAACTAAGACTCAGGTAGTTTAAGTCAACAAAGTTGACCACAGCAGAACCTTGATTTAAGCACAGATCTCTCTTACTCCAAAGTCTATACCCTTCCAATGTCTGACAGGCATTTCTCTAACACAGGGTGGGGAACATCTGGCCCACGGGCCTTATTTGGTCTTGTCCTGCCAAGGCATTAGGGGTGAATTAATTAAATGCTTGACCAAATATAGGTTAATTTTTAAGTTGATAATTTCACATGGCCCACAAATCATGTTAGAAGTATCCAAATGGCTCTTGGCAGAAAAAAGGTTCTCTACTCCTGCTCTAATCCCATACTCTATATGAAGTTTACTGCAGTACACTATTAATTCCAAACACCATCACTTTGTTACTGAAAAAAACTTAATGTTCAGAGATGTTAGGCTTCCATCAAAACTCATATGGTGGAGGTAGCCTTTTAATTCAAGTCTGATTCCAAAGCCCTTGATTATTCTTGGACATGGTAGTGTATCTCAAAATTAAAACATGATTATTAAAGCATAATAATAATAATAATTTCTACTACTATCATCAGTTTTTTTTAAAATCACAACAAAAAGAAGGAAGTCATCTTCAGTTTAGAAATATTTTACAAAACTAAGACTCATTAGACATGTTTTGTTTGAATTTTATCTTTAAAGGCTGACATTTCTTCAATTACTCAGCATTGTACAAAATGGATTGTACACTTTTTCCTAAAGTCAAGGTTTCTTTTCTGAAGAGACTATTTTATGATACTTGACACTTGTTGCAAACTATTCAACTAAAATAATTGAATGGGAATCCAAAGCAAACCCTGATGAAATACTAAGTACCCATTATATATGACTATACACCTCCACTAATCTAGATGATAGCCAAAGAGTACATATTATAAAATCCTTTGAGGACTCTTTTATAAAAATTAAAATTCATATCTGATGAATAAACGAGGGAAGCTTAAATTTCAGTGGTTGCACTCAATCTATTCTGTTTCCTAAAACAATCACTTACCTTCTATAAAATCTAAAGATGGTTTCTAGTTCTGACAGACAGTAAGAGTAGGAGGCTGTGTCTTGGTGAGCCCAAGGAACATTCTCCAGGATTGCCAAAGGGAGTGGATCTTAAACCTATCACTCTTGATTTAGAGAAGAGCAGATTGCCCTTCTCAATCAAAGCTGTCATAAATCAAACAACTAGTAGTTGAAGCATTTCAGTATGGCCACTCCTGAGTAACAGACACACAGAAATAAATGGAATCAACTGTGTATCGGTGTGTCACAATACACTTTCTAAATACTAACGGCATATGCACAATACTATTCTTAACAGAACTATATCATACCTAAAAATTAGTTAAAGTCTGACTCATAGTCTCGTGTCTTTCTAGCATATGAGGTGTCAATTATGAAGCTATATATTGTTTTTTATATTAAAAAACTAGAAACATTAAGTCATCTGAAATCCTAAAAGAAAAACTAAAAATTCCAAGATGTGTTTTAATTTATGTATAAGTTCCACATTTACATGTAAACAGCTTAATAAAAGCCATTATACCACACCAACTACAGTCAAATGTTGGTTCTCTCGAACATCTTCCATTTCAAACAATTTGGTTCTTGGCCAAGGTGTTCATGAAAAAAATGTTTCAGGTATCAAACAAAACTTCAGTTCTTGACCAACAACTCTTTCATGCTGACACCTGTATGATCAGACACTTGCCTCTCAGGCGACAAAGGAGAGAATACATGAGTATGAGACAATTTACTGCTAAACTTCGCGTTAACATCTCAGGAAATTGTGCTATTAATATTTTCTTGTTTTTGTTGTTTTTGCCTTTGTTACTGTCTACTATTATTAAATACATATAGTAAGAAACCATGGGTCCTAAGGTTAGTGATAGCAGCAAAGTGGAAACTAAAGTTGTGAGAATAAAAACTAGAGCTTAAAAAGATATAATTGCCAATTATAACAGAGGTGTTCACATGTCTGATCTGGCTACTGAGTATGGTAAGGGGAAAGGACAATTAACACAATTTTAAAACATAAAGAGGCCATTAAGAGTGCTGACTTTGTTAAGTGAAAGTGCTCACAAAACAATTTTCACAGGCAACTGAGAAAGGTAAAAAAAGAAACATTTGGGGGTCTGGAATGGATTAACTCAATTTACATTATTTCTAATGGGAAAAAATAATTAGGTTTTAAAACAAATTGCTTTTCGAATAGCCTTCTGGAACGAATTAAGTTCGAGAACCGAGATTCCACTGTATTCTAAATCATTAAATTTCTAAAATTTTATCCTCCCCCCTTTTTAAAAGTTTAATCTTTAGGTTCACTACTTAATTATAAGTCTAAATTGCATGGTGCTAATAAAAATCCACTACCCTAAAACTAGAATAGCTGTACTATCTTGATGACCAAACTTTTACAGTCATCTTTTATACTGGTTACCTTTGTGGAGTCTGCTGACTGACAATAGCATTGGCAGTCTCCCTCAGATACACCTCCCAATCTGTTTCAGGGATTTCTTGATCTTCGGTAAAAGGATATCTATATGACAAAAAGAAAACACAATAAACTAAATGGAAGCATGCTTATTATCCAAAATGTTTCTGGTGCTAACTGCCTCTTTAACTCACTGTTGAACTCTGCAGGCTTCACACATGAGTAGGGCTTTTCTGAGATTTCGGCAGGACTTCTCTGCAAGTCTACGAGCCAGTTGTGAAGGGAGATTCAGACCTTCCTTCTTGCACACAGTAGATAAAACATGGCAAATCTACAATAAAATAATTTTTAAAAATGAGCAATCTGTCAAACAGTATATTGAAATAATTTCTGTTGATAACATCTTCATAGATCCCCACTTTTTTTGGTTACTATCCTACCCAAACCCACATTCTCCTTCAGCAGGAAGCCAGGGATCTTGCCTAGCTATTAGGAAAAGGGAGCAGCTGGTTCTGCAACTGGGGAAAGACCTGGTCCCAGGTCCAAGCCTTCCAATCTCCTCAGGGCAGCTGAGAGGAGACACAGGGTCCCAAGTTGGTGGCAAAAACAGGGCTGCCAAGTTGAGCCACCTGGCCTGAATTCCACACAACTAAGAAGGCCTTATTTGCATGGACTAAGACAAGAATGGTGTCCATGAGAGTGGTGAAACTGGTAATCCTGCCTGCTTTATTAACCCTTTTAACTGTATTACTCCTAAAATTTGTACAACTGAGAGATAAAATAAAGGTATTTTACAACTTTGCAACTAATACAATGTCACATATTATCCATACTTTGCATAAAATTGCCCCAAATTACTAATGGCAGGAAAACTGCTTATTGTGAGAATTAAAAATTTTACTGATAGCTATTAAGAATATCTCTCTCTCTCACACACACACACACACACACACACACGGGTGGGCAAAAATAGGTTTACAGTTGTGAGTGACATTCTGAGTTAAGAAAGCTACTATAATAATTATCACCTGTATGTTTTTTTCCATACAAACAGCTGTAAATCTACTTTGCCATTCCTATATATAATGTTCTTTCACCTAACTTTGGTCCCTTACCCAAACAGTTGGTATTCTCACATCATCTCCTGGCAAAACCTATTTCTTCCATACTCAAGTGTCCTCCAAAGCCAAGTACATCAGGTTGAGGCAAAAGACACTAAATACCTAAACTCTCCATAGTTTAGTAAAATTCATAATATAGTGAAACCTCAGTTCTCAAACTAAATTCATTCAGGAAGACTGTTCAAGAAGCAATTTGCTCAAAAATTGAATCATTTTTTCCCATTAGAAATAATGTAAATTGAATTTATTCGTTCCAGTCCTCCAAATGAGTCCCTGTTTTATATACAGTACATGTCTAATATACTGTTTACTCTATAAAGAAACACTTCTTTTGTTAAATTTATTAAACCACCCCCTACTAGCCTTAAAGAAATCACTTTACCACCCACTCCAGGGGTGTCTTTCAGGAAGTCAGCATGCAATGTCTTTGCTTTTTCACATATCACTGCCTTGGAAATGCAGTCACACATTAACTGATTTTTCTTTATCTAAATCAACAGTTTTTCTACCTCTTCAATTGCCTGTGACCACTGTTTCTTTCACACCCTTAGAAACATTAGAACTCTTGATGGCCTCTTTATGTTTTAAAGTTGTATTAATCATCCATTTTACCAGCAACAAAAACAAAAAGATAAAATATTATATAATAAAGATGTAATATGCAAACTGACCATCACGCCCTCACACAAGATGGCCAGCCCCATGTGGTCAAAAATGGCCACAAGATGGGTGGCAGGGGAGGGTAGTTGTGGGCGATAAGGCCAGCAGCGGAGGGCAGTTAGGAGCGACCAGGCCGGCAGGGGAGGGCAGTTGGGGGTAACCAGGTCAGCAGGGGAGGGCAGTTGTGGGGAACCAGTGGCCTACAGGGGAGGGCATTTGGGGTTGACCAGGCTGCTGGGGAGGGCAGTTGGGGGTGACCAGGCCTGCAGGGGAAGACAGTTGGGGGCGACTAAGCCAGCAGGGGTGGGAAGTTAGGGGCAACCAGGCCAGCGTGGGAAGGCAGTTGGGGTCAATCGGGCTGGCAGGGGAGGAGTTAGGCATTGATCAGGCTGGCAGGGGAGTGGTTAGGGGATGATCAGGCTGGCAGGCAGAAGCGGTTAGGGGCAATCAGGCAGGTAGGAGAGCAGTTGGGAGCCAGCGTCCTGGATTGTGAGAGGGGTGTCCGACTGCTGGTTTAGGCCCGATCCCACAGGGACACCTCCTACCCCGCCCCCAAGGGCACGAATTTCATGCACCAGGCCTCTAGTAAATAAATAAAACCACAAAAATATTCACAATACAATTTCCTGAAATGTTAACAATGTGAGGTTTAGGGGTAAACTGACTAGCAATCTCTCCTTTGTTTCTTGCTTTTTCTCATGCTGAGGCATCAGCATGAAAGGGTTGTTCAACAACTAAGACTATTTTTTAAGGACAACTTGGTTGAAAACCCAACTGTTAGAAATAGGAGACATTTGAGAACCGAGGTTTGACTGTACCTACTCATTTAAGGTAAACAATAATTTAAAGCAAAGAACACTTTTCCTATATTGGTATCTACTACTACTGGTATTTACTACTATATATATTGGTTTTTGCATCTACTAATGATTAGCATCCAGACCACAGATGTTCCTGAATTACTGACACACTTCACTGCAAGTGAAAACAAATAACTTGACTTACATCCTCAATGCTGGGAGCAGGCACACGAATTGCCAGACATCGACTACGAATAGGTGGTATCACTTTAGATGTAGAATTGCAACACAAGATCAATCTGCAGGTAGACATATATTTTTCCATGGTTCTACGCAAGGCATGTTGAGCATCTCTGGTGAGTTTGTCAACCTCTGTCAACAAAACCACTGAGAGAAGGAGAAACAAAACAAACTTTAACTTGCATAACTATATGCTTCTCCCTCTTCATTATTCAGCATGAAATCTTAAATAATAATCCTGATATATTACTCTTCCCTTTGACAAAGACATATTGAAGTTACAAGTACAGTAAAAATAACTTATTTTTATTTTCAAAATTCTGTAAGACTAAGAAATTCTAGACTAAATGAAGTTAAAGAGGTTAACTTACTATAGAATTCATTATAGCCTTTATAATATTTACTAGACACCTGGTGCACGAGATTCATGCACTGGGTGGGGGGGAGGGTCCCTCAGCGCAGCCTGCACTCTCTTGCAGTCCAGGACCCCTTGGGGGATGTCCGCCTACTGGCTTAGACTCAATCCCCCCAGGCATCGCTGTGGAAGCACACTGACCAACAGGGGGCAGCTCCTGCATTGAGTGTCTGTCCCCTGGTGATCAGTGTGCGTCATAGTGACCAGTCATTCTGCCGTTAGGTTGATTTGCATATTATGCTTTTATTATATAGGATATGCACTAAAAAGAGAATCACCAAAACAAGGATGTATGGTGCTACATTTTCCAAAAATATTTTACTATCTCAGTAGCACATGACTGTGGAACATCTTTTAATCAGGGGTGGGGAAAATCCAGCCCACAGGCCATATAAGGCCCATGAAATAATTTTGTCTGGCTCTGCCAAGGCATTAGGAGTGAGTTATTAACTGTCTGACAAATATAGCAAGCTAATTTTAAGGTAATAATTTTGTATGGCCCACAAATGATGTTATAAATATGCAAATGGACTTTAGCAGAAAAAAGATTCCCACTGCTGTCTTAAATCATAGCATTCTAAGGAATATACTTTGGAAAACAACTGCCACAGGGATGTAGCAAACAAGGCATAAAGACATCTGGTTACTTGTATAGTAAGTAAGTTTCTTCCTGGTCATAATTAGTCTTAAGACTAGGCCTTGGGGAGAACCAAGATGGCGGCATAGGTTAACGCCGGAGTTTGCTGCTTTGAACAACTACTTCAAAAGTGAAACCAAAAAACGGAAGGGACATCACCCAGAACCACAGGAACGCTGGCTGAGTGGAAGTCCTACAACTAGGAGGAAAGAGAAACGCATACGGACACTCAGAGGAGGCGCAGTGCTGAAGTCAAATTCTGAGGTGCGGAGTGCTCGGAGCGGGCTGGCGGCGGAGGGCGTGGTTGGCGTTTTCAATCGGGAGGGAGTCGCAGACTCTGAGCTCCAGATCCGGGCGAGTCTTTAGGGACCCAGACTCAAACGGGAGAAGCGGGACTGTCTGGCTTCGGTCAGAGCGAGTGCAGCTTTCTCTCTGAGCTTTGCAGCGGGTGCTGGGACTCTGAGAGGCAGAGCCCCTGGGGACAGGACTGAGAGCCGCCATAACTGCTCCCTCCGGCCCACCCTGTTGATCCTGTGCGACCCGCCCCGCCATTTGCCGGATAGCCTCAGGCAAAGGCTAGATTAGCACCTCCCTAGAAGACAGAAGTTCTCTCACTGCTGACACAGCTGATTCTCATAGCCACTTGGCCAGGAGGTCAAACCCTCCCTGGAATTAGCTACAACAATCAAGATTTAACTATAAGACTGCGAACAAAGACCACTAGGGGGTGCACCAAGGAAGCATAACAAAATGCGGAGACAAAGAAACAGGACAAAATTGTCAATGGAAGATATAGAGTTCAGAACCACACTTTTAAGGTCTCTCAAGAACTGTTTAGAAGCCGCCGATAAACTTAATGAGATCTACAAGAAAACTAATGAGACCCTCGATCTTATATTGGGGAACCAACTACAAATTAAGCATACATGGACTGAAATAACGAATATTATACAGACTCCCGACAGCAGACCAGAGGAGCGCAAGCATCAAGTCAATGATTTGAAATGCGAGGAAGCAAAAAACACTCAACCGGAAAAGCAAAATGAAAAAAGAAACCGAAAATACGAAAATAGTGTAAGGAGCCTCTGGGACAGCTTCAAGCGTACCAACATCAGAATTATAGGGGTGCCAGAAGATGAGAGAGAGCAAGATATTGAAAACCTATTTGAAGAAATAATGACAGAAAACTTCCCCCACCTGGTGCAAGAAATGGACTTACAGGTCCAAGAAGCGTGGAGAACCCCAAACAAAAGGAATCCAAAGAGGACCACACCAAGACACATCATAATTAAAATGCCAAGAGCAAAAGATAAAGAGAGAATCTTAAAAACAGCAAGAGAAAGAAACTCAGTTACCTACAAGGGAATACCCATACAACTGTCAGCTGATTTCTCAACAGAAATTTTGCAGGCCAGAAGGGAGTGGCAAGAAATATTCAAAGTGATGAATACCAAGAACCTACAACCAAGATTACTTTATCCAGCAAAGCTATCATTCAGAATTGAAGGTCAGATAAAGAGCTTCACAGATAAGGAAAAGCTAAAGGAGTTCATCACCACCAAACCAGGATTATATGAAATGCTGAAAGGTATCCTTTAAGAAGAGGAAGAGGAAGAAAAAGGTAAAGATACAATTTATGAACAACAAATATGCATCTATCAACAAGTGAATCTAAGAATCAAGTGAATAAATAATCTGATGAACAGAATGAACTGTCGATTATAATAGAATCAGGGACATAGAAAGGGAATGGACTGACTATTCCTGGGGGGGAAAGGGGTGTGGGAGATGCGGGAAGAGACTGGACAAAAATCGTGCACCTATGGATGAGGACAGTGGGTGGGGAGTGAGGGCGGAGGGTGGGGCGGAAACTGGGAGGAGGGGAGTTATGGGGGGGGAAAAAAGAGGAACAAATGTAATAATCTGAACAATAAAGATTTAATTAAAAAAAAAAAAGACTAGGCCTTAAATATTTTCAAGAATAACATGTAGGTAGACTGAATCCAACTGCTGTATTATTCATTATACCAATTTTTGTCTAGCAGATGGCAGTATTCCAATCTCTCCGATATAAACAGACAGGACTAAATATTCCAAGACCAAAGACCCATGGACAACATTTATACCAAAACATAGTAACAAGCTTTACCTAAAAACCCCAAATACTAGAAAGTGAAAATACTGGTAAATGACTATGTATGGGAGGAAGTGGCTAGGACAGCCGTGGGCAAACTATGGCCCTCGGGCCGGATCCGGCCCGTTTGAAATGAATAAAACTAAAAAAAACAAAGGACCGTACCCTTTTATGTAATGATGTTTACTTTGAATTTATATTAGTTCACACAAACACTCCATCCATGCTTTTGTTCCGGCCCTCCAGTCCAGTTTAAGAATCCATTGTGGCCCTCAAGTCAAAAAGTTTGCCCACGCCTGGGATAGGATCTAGTAGGTTTCTGACAGTCTTTAGGGCAGGAGAACCCTAAATCACCCACAAGAAAACTCTAGAAAGCATCAAGGGCTAAGATGAGAACAGAATCCATAGGGCTGAGCTCATGGCTGAGAACAATGGAACCTTGATGCAATAAAGTTTGGCAGAGCACTAGACTGAAAATAACAAAATGGAGTGCCCCTCTAAGACAATGTTTCACAATGAGGAGAAATTCTGGACAGAGAATCCAAACTGAACAGAATAGGAAAAAGAGAGACAAAAAGATTGATCCCGAAATGTGACTAAAATAGAACCAAACAAAGTAGCAAAATCCAACAGATACAAAAAATAAATCTGGTAGTCAGAAAATAGAAGCATATCTATAAATTTAAAACATGACCAAGTGAGTTTTACTCTAGAAATGCAATGAAGTTTCATTAGGAGATCCAGTAATATAATCCTACATAATAAAAGCCGAATACGCTAGGTGTCCAGTTGAACGGTCGGCTGTTCAACGAATCAAAGCATAATATGTTAATGCCGCTCAACTGCTCGCTATGACGTGCACTGACCACCAGGGGGCAGACGCTCCAACCAGTAGGTTAGCTTGCTGCTGGGTTATGGCCAATAGAGACTGAGAAGATGGGCCAGACACGCCCTGGAGCTCTCCTACGGTCCCTTCCCAGCTGGCCAACCTTCCATGTCCCTCCCCGGCCCCGATCATGCACCGGTGGGGTCCCTTGGCCTGGCCTGTGCCCTCTCGTAATCTGGAACCCCTCGAGGGATGTCAGAGAGCCGGTTTCAGCCCAATCCCGCAGGCCAGGCTGAGGGACCCCACTGGTGCATGAATTCCTGCACTGGGCCTCTAGTGTGTGTGTGTGTGTGTGTGTGTGTGTGTGTGTGTGTGTAGAGGTAATATGCTAATTGGTCCTAACGGTGTCCCAGTCATGACCATTCAACAGGCTGCATGCACACAGGATCTGGAGGGCGGGGATGGGGGCAGGGACTTGCGCCACTGAGACATGAGGCTGCCGCCAGGGGCAGTCCCCCCAGCAGATGCATGCACAGGCCCACTGTGCCTCCTGGCCTGGAAGGGGGTGTCAGGATGGGGGCAGGGCCTCGGCAGAGATCTCTCAGCACTCCTGTGCTAAGGTCTGAAGGCGCGGAGAGAAAGGGAGAGCAGGTGGGAAGTTAAGAGTGTTTAGGCCAGGTGGGGAGAGCAGATAGGCAGTTACGGGGATCAGGCCAGGAGGGGAGAGCAGTTAGGGGCATCAGGCAGGTGAGCGCTTAGGCGTCAGTGGTTCTGGATTGCGAGGGATCCCAGATTGGAGAGGGTGCAGGCCAGGCTGAGGGAACCCCGCCCCAGCCCGCGCGCCCCCTCCCCCCCCCCCCCCCCGCGCACAAATTTCGTTTACCCGGCTTCTAGTGTTATAAATATTGTAAATGTGCAAATGGAATTTACTAGTGACCTGGTACACAGATTCATGAACATTGAAAGGAAATCTATACTAATAAAATGATAATATGCTAATTAAGGCAGACATCTTCCAAACGACCTTCTGGACGTCCTACCGGACAAAGCCGCAGAGGCTGTGAGGGCCGAGATTCAGGGAGTCACGGATGGTTGCAAAGGGCACAGGCTCAAGCCAGTAGTGGCAGGAGCAGCA